GTAAAGGATTAAAGGACTAAATTGAAAAATGTAAGAATTAAGGGGTTTGATATGGAAAGTGACTGGAATTGATGGAGAATGCTTGAATTTGAAGATTAATGGCAATATACCATTTTAAATATTTTGGAAATATTAAGGTGAATTCTAAAAGAATTCATTTTCATGATTAAATTATGAACTTTGAAAATGATTATGTGAATTATTAATTGATTTGAATATTCAGGGACTTGAAGTTGTATTTTGTCGTGTTAAGGTTGGTACATTCTATGTGGCATTACATGTGCATTGTGGAATTCATGATATTTGACATTATAATATTTCTGATTATTGGTACAATGATGTTGTGTTCTACAATAAATGTACATTCTATTTGGCACTAAAAGTGAAAATTATCTATGTGGCTGTAAAACTACATATTGAGCACACTTGTCTAACTCACATACCTTGCATTCTTATTTGTTATACATTGGGCTATGATTCAAATGTAATTGAAAGGTGTAGGTTTGATCGATTCAATTGAAAGTGAATCTTTTAATGAATATCCTGATTTGGTTACATGTGATTTATACGTGACCTATTGTTTTACATGTTATATGATAAGGGAATACATTTAATAACTTTGTTTTATATGTTTGTATATTATACGTTGATTTATGTATTATGGTTTATATTGTATTTTATATATTGATATGTTTTACTTAGTATTGAAAATGCCTCACTAAGTGTATACTTAGCGTGTGATGGTTTCATGCGTAGGCAAATGAAATCAAGTGAAGTAAAGAGCTTAGCCTGGCATCTCCTAGGGAGGATTACCTACTAGTATCAATATGACATCTCTTGATGTTTTTGATATTTCTAGTTGACATTTATGTATTATGTGGTTATGACATTCTGATATAAACTTGTTTGAAACTGGTTTGCAATATTATATATGTGCTAGCTTATAATGCATAGTACTTATTATTACAAGTTACAAATAATGGTTTGTTGGTTAGTATTTTAGAAAACTATATTTTAATTGTTATCGAGATGAATTTCTATTTAAACAGTTTTGAGGCAGTTTCATTGATTATATAAAATAGTATTGAATTGTCATGTTGTTACCTGAAATTGAATGCGATCTAAATATTAAAATATTATATTTTGATTTTCTGCGATTGAATTAATTGTGGTTTTATTGATTTTAAATGACTAATTTTTAGAAACAAAAATTTTTATTGATTTTTGAATAAGGATTGCATTGATAAGTTTATGTGACATATCTGACTTGTGTTCAAGGAAGGATACGAGAAGAGGGTTTTACATTAAAAAAACAAAAAGCATAATTTTTTAAATCGAGAGAAAAAAGGATTCGAACCCTATAAATCACTGCAAAAAAAGAGTGGATCAGTTTTTAAAAAGGAGGGAGAATTCGAAAAAAAAAGGAGAGAAATAATGAAAAAAGAGTAATTGGGGAACTTTCAAAAGCTTTTACCTCGCTCGTGATCATTGGAGAGAGGAGCACTCACCAGAACACGAATCGACAGTAGAAAAGGAGGTAAAAACCCAAACCGTATTTTTGTTAGATATATGCTCCCGTATACTCAATGTTTGTGATTTCTAAGGTTAGATCCTTGCTGAAGGGGTTGAAAGGAATCAAATGATGTAGTTTATAAGTTTTCGACCACCGTGGGTTGTGGCTGACGCAATGGTCAGGGCTAGTTGACTAACGGAGTAGTCGTTGGTTTATGGGTTTGGCTCGTTGGAACAGGGTTGGGGTAGAGAGAGTTTTAGGAGTATTGTTTTGGGAGGAAGGTTACAAATGTTAAAAATCGAGTTGGGGACTTTTATATGTGACCAATTTAGTCTGGAAGCAGTTGAACCGTGCGTTTTTAAGAGCCTATGGGTACTTTCTTTTTGTGATCCCTAGTAGTGTTAAGGCTTTGATAGGAAAGTATGGAGACTTAAGACCAGGGTAGCCGAGTAGTTGCGGGTCACAGTCATACGGTGTAACTTCTCTATCCTCTTTTTAATGCATTTGTAGTAATTCTCATGACTTCTACTTTTTAAGTTTCTTTCATTGGATTTTATGAACGCTTAGAACTTAGGTAGTGAAGTGGTGTTGCCTTAATTTAGGTTTTAACCCATTTGACTTTATTCCTTCTTGTAGCTTGCTATCGTTGACTTTTGTGTATCCTTCTTTTCAGGTTTCTTCTTTTTAAATTTAGCCAGTTCTTACGTTTCTGTCTATATGCAGAGATTTGTACGTAGGGATTTATTTGCAGGGATTACTCCCCATTACAGACGCGCATATGAAGACTGTATATGAAAAATGTTCAACTATGTATTTATTTATTTATTTATACATGCATTGCATTTTATCTTTATTTTTAATTTTTCTGACTGCCAGAGGTCTTCCACGGAAGCTGCTCTCAACCTTGCGTTTAGGGCCAGCCAACTATCCTACCTCCTCCTTACCCCATTACATATGGGAATAGGATTTTGTTGTTGTTGTTGTTGTTGTTGTAGTGTTAAGGCTTTACATTTTAGTCCCAACACCCTTAAATTAAGTCTTTAAAATGGCAATTAGGTCCTTGTAATTTTTCGTTTTAATGCAGCTAAGCCCTTTATTTTGTTCTTACTATTATTATGATTATTTGTTTTTAATTTATGTCATTTATGTCAAGTTTTATATATACGCTTATTTTTAGGGATAATTATTATTAATTAATTTTAAATGACATATGTTTTTGTGAGTGTTTTTTTAAGTTTAACATGAATAATTAATTTGATTAATAATTCGAGCATGATTAACCCGTGATAAAATTGTTTGAAGTCGATTGTTTGCATGACATTTCTATTTATACCTACAAGCATGATAGCCTCATTCACATTACTCAACTTTTATCATTTATAAACTAAAAGGCAATGCATGCTTATTTTTATTTATTGAATAGAGTTATCCTAATCTACCTTGGTAGCTTAATTAAGTAATTTAAAATAAATGAGTATCCTCTAGTGAAAATATAAAAATAATAACATTTTAAAATTAATTAGGAGGGTTGAAAGGGAAATATTCTCGTCTTTAGATTTATCGAAAATGAGCCTCTCAACCCTATTCAGTGGGATGCCATATTAAGAGTTATCGAAAATTGATAATTCACCGTTTTGGTTGGAATTGAGAGGGATGCCACTCTACCTTATATTAGGTGGTTAGCTCTCTTCAGTTAAATGCAACGAATTGTTAATTTTTCACTCCAAAATTTTAATCAGTTAAATAATGTTATATTTATTTAACTAAAAAGGGACCATTAATTAAATTAAAATTTGAATCTATAAATTTCATTGCATAGACAATAATTAATCAATTAGGTACCGATTTTTAGGCATTGTGGGGTGGTAACCCTTTCCCACACGTAATCAAACCCTAAACATTTTTTTTGAAAAAGTAGACCAAAACACTATTTTAATAATTTTTAAAATTAAATTTTATTAAAATTAAAATATTCTGGGTGATTCAATCACACCCTAAACAACAGTTTAGGGCGACTTCCTCGAATCCTACTTTTAATTTTTAAAATAAAAACTCCATTTTACTCAAAACGAATCTTAAAATTATTTTTTGATTTTTTGGGACGTTACTACGAAAGTGACATTAAAGCAATTCATGTTGACTGCTGCTGGCCACTGGCAAATGCAAAGGTTAGTCATGGTGGGTACCAAATTTGAATGTCTTTATGTTAGTTATTTATTTTGTTGAAGGTATCCCTTTTAAAATATTATTTTTTTTCATATAAAAAATTCGTATTATTAATATATACGTGTTCACCCTTAAAAATATTTTTAAATCGGACCGAACTGCTCACACCCTGGTTTTTAACATTTTTTACTTTTCTGAAGCTCTCCATTCAACGGTGACAAGGTGTAAAGCACATTTATGAAAACTTAAAAAAAACAAACATTAATGGGGGAGTGCTCAAAACCAAAAGATGCTGTATTTGTTTATGGATGTTTGGCCACTTTGTTAGCTCATATCTGCTGCAATGACGTTCTACATATATTGTGTGGCAATAACTCTTCGTTCGGATAGCAAACAGTAGATATATGGAATAGTGGTCCTCATCTACTCTTCTTGCTTCAAAATCAAAGCTTTTTACTTAATATTTGGTTGGATAATAAATGCATGCATATTGTAAATGAACTGAACCGAAATTCTTTCTACTTCAATTTTTTTTAATAAAATGAAAACAAATTTTTATCAAGAAACGGGTTTTTTTATTCAAATTTACGACATTTAAAATTAATTTATCATTTGAACACCAATTTCAAATTATTTCTCAATCTAACACTCTTTTGTGTCACATAAACGAAAGATTCTACATGAAACACTTTTTAGAAGTCACTTTTTGCAGGGAGCGTCTTCCTCTTATATTACATAAAAAGGTCAGAACTCTTTAAGTTGTGTTGAAATGAAAAAAAAAATAGGGTTAAAAGTATGAAAGAAAATTATACACATTTTATCTAAATTGAATAAACGTGGGCGGTGCATGTGAAAGATATGTAACTGCACAAGCACAAACCTGAGTCGAGCCAGGTGGCGACTATGATACTCGTGTTCTAGTCCATATTATTAGGTATGTGAGTTTTAGATTGTTTAAATATAACATTTGAATCATATATTTATTAAATGATTAAACATAAGGTTAATACACATGCATTGTCACCACCCAGTTTAGCTTGTTCTTGTGTAATTACGTGTTCTCGACACATGCCACACTCGTTTGTCTTTTGGTTAAAATTCATAATTTTTCATATATTTGATCATTTTTTCTTTTTCATTCTTTTCGATTCAATCTCATCGATATCACCAAAAGACGTCTTGCATATTGTACTTTCTATAGAGCTTGTTTTTACCTACGTGGCAAAAAAAAGTACTAATTCAGAAATTAATCGTTTATGAAGGCTAGAATGGGAAATAATTTATATTGGGTGACATTTGAATAAAAAACTCAATAAACTTACATGACAACACAGTAAATTTTCTTTTGCCTTTTATTTTTTCATAATTTACATCATACCTATTATGTCCAAATAATATCGTATCTTTTGTTCATTTGGCTGAATAGCAATATTTTCCCTTCTTGTACAGAAGAAAAGGTTATAGGGCACCAAGGAAATATATCACATCACATCTTCAGGATATGAGGGTTGATATCACTTCTGAATTGTAGGTGAAAAACCTGTAAAGAAGCTAGTTTATCTTCCATATATATATATATATATATATATATGTAACGATTTTGTTGCATCAGGTTACTGTTTTGTCGCCCATCTTGTTTGATTTAACGTCGTTTAAGCAATCGAACCCAAGGTCGTTAATACCAAAATCCTGAAAATCAAGGAACCAAGAGCAGTTTTCCTCCCAAGTTGGGAAGCTTGTGGCATTAAAGGCTGGTAGAATGTTCCACGAAGAGTGGACTAAAGGGGGTTCACCATCCATCCATAAGCTACTAAATAAAATAGATTCATCACTGCAAATTTTGTTTAGCAAATCGAAACCATCAGAAGTTGAGCAATTCTCAGCTGGTGTACTCGAATTATCTGCAGAATGGTCAGCATGGGAAGTGCTTTCTTCAGCCTTTGCTTCTTTTTCCAATGGTTCATGAGTAGCAGGATCGATCCCCATTTTAATGAGCTTTTTCTTGATGTGTGTGTTCCAATGATTCTTGATCTCGTTGTCGGTTCTGCCCGGCAACCTGGCTGCAATCTTCGACCACCTATAAAAAAAAAAAAGCAAACAAGATTAGCCTAACTTGAACTCATGAAAGTCTCTCAAGTGCTATTTCTAGAGTGTAATTTACCTATTGCCAAGGCGGGAATGAAGGTCGATAACCAGCTGTTCTTCAGCCTCGGAAAGAAGGCCTCTCTTCAGATCAGGCCGAAGATAATTAGTCCATCGAAGTCTGCAGCTCTTGCCGCAGCGGCGGAGACCGGCGAGCTTAGGAACGGCACGCCAACAACACTGGCCATTGGTGAGAATGAAATTGATGAGTTTCTTGTCTTCCTCGACAGTCCATGGCCCTTTTTTCACACCCAGTTTGTCACAGCAAGGCTGCCTACCCATAGTCTAATTTAGTCCTCGCCAATATTCTATGCCTGCAAAGACCCAAAAGTCCCACACCCACCTTTATATAAACTACTTGTGCAGCTTACAAACGCTAATATATATAAACACGAAATTGGAGATTATGAATTTGACTAAGTTATATAAATATATTCAAAATTTGAGAATATGCTATACCTTTCAATTAGTGGACTGTATTTGTTTTGGGTAGGGTTAATTGAAAATAAGTTAATTTTCAGTTTAAATAATTTGAGTTTGATTTAGTTTTCAGATTTAATATTTTTTTATTCTGGTTATTCTTATTTGATATTTGATTTTTTTCTAGTATGGTTATTGTGAGTACAAATCATTTCAGGTTTTTGCCATTTTAAGTTTTCTGTTTATTTTGTTGTAATTGGTTTTTCAAAGAATGTTTTCTTCTTCTTTTTTCAATGTTTTGTTGACGGAAAATAAATTGGTCAATATAATTCATTTTCTTAATCAATAAAATTTTCTTTGTATTTTCTAGAAAAAAACTTGCGGTCTAATTTTTAGTAAGTCATTTTTCGCTATCGATGAAATAATTTTCATATTAACTTCTTATATTGAAATAAATCATATTTAATTTAAGTTGAGAATCAAATTCATGGTAATTGAAAATTTACAACACATTCAAGAGTAAATTACATGTTTAGTATCTAAACTATTACTTTAGTTTTATTTTGGTACCTAAACTTTATTTTTTCACAACCATGCATAACGTTTGGTTTAGGTTTCAATTTAGTACCCGCCATTAAAAAATTATAAATACCTACTCACGTGATATTTTTTTTTAAATAATGGTGTGTCATTACCTTATAATGACACGTCAACATCACCAATATGAAGCATAAACAAGACATTAAGTATGATTTTAAAAATTAAAATTGAAGTACCAAAACAGAATAAAAAATAGTAGTTTAGGGTTAAATATGCAATGTACAACACAATAAAAAAATTACAAAGGGATGGAGGGGGGGACCAACCATTGGTTTATGAAAAGGACGTTGGAACTAAAATGGGGGGACTTGTGATGCATAGAAGAGTGAGAGAGGAGAGTGGGGTAATGGATGACCCAAAGACAATGGCTATATCTAAGCTTTCCCTAAATAATGTACTTCTCATTTTCCTACACAATCTCCCTCATTGCACTCTTACTCAACCCTTCCATCATCCATTTCGTCATCCCCACGTTTACTTGTTTCCTTAGCCCTAACCCTAACCCTAAACCTACCACCAAATTTTGAGCTCTCTCTAATTAATGGAACATTTAATTGATTATTAACCTGTCGAAACAGTTAAATCATCTTGATTTTGGGCTTTATTTCTTTGAAAATTTTAAAATAAATTTATTTTTTTCAATCCTTTTATCTGGATCCTAGTATCTTTCTTGCTAATTCAACTTATCTTCTAAGTAATGCAATGATCAGTGACTAATACTTGATAAGGAAGATGGATAATTATCTGTTAATCCAATCTAAATGTTTAAGGAACATGGCTTTCGAAATGGACGGTTTCATTCAATTTTACTATTGTTGTCGAACATATATCCTTAACTTTTTTTTAAAAATAAAAAATAAAATAATATTCAAAATTGATGTTATCTTAAAATTTAACATTATTGTTTACCATTCCTTATATACGTCCATTTGTTCTCTGATTTCCTTACGTCCCATTAGTAATTTTATGTTGTTAACAATTAAACGAAGAAAAACACTTATTTATATATGATGGATTAATCTGATAATTCCTTAGGAAAAAATACTAGATTAGATTTTATATATAAAAAATCAAATATTAAAAATAATACTATTGGAATTGAAAATTAAAAATATAATTTTAAAAGAAAAATAATAGTAAAATGTAAAATTTTGTTTCTAAATCTAATGGAGTTTTTTTTTTAAATATTTCTTTTTTACATGTGTCCTTATTCCTTAACCTCCATGTAAAAAATTTGTTTCAACGACTTATGATCGATGAACACGCATTTCCTCGATGATGAATTGATGATAGTCAAACTTTATACACAAGTATATACGTACCTTATAATAAAATATGATGAATGGACCCTTTTCCTAAATTGCTCAATTATTTATTTATTATTATTTTTTTTGGTGATGATAGTCAAACTTTTTTGGTTATTTGTCTTGGCTTAGGTGAACATAGTTCAATGTGGACCCTTTTCTTAAATTGCTCAACTTTATACTCCATCACGTATCTAATTAATCACAAGAAACCCTTTAGTTTTGTATTTATTTTATTTCCCCTTAATAAATTGATTAAAGCATAAAGTTAATAAATAATTAGTATTTGGCATCTGATTTCAAGATCTTTCTGAATTTCTTTTATGGACGTCTTGCAACTTGATTAAAAAAGACATACCGATCATGGTGTAAACTAGGTTTGATACTCTTTTTTCCCTGACATTTATTTATTTTCTTAATTTGATATATCAAGTTTTTGTTTGTTAATATTTGTTGGATTAAAATTCGTTATTGTGAGTACATATGTATAATGTGCAGTGCTATCCTAAAGCTTGATACAAAATTAAGTGACCAGTGCTATCTTAAAGCATCAAAAGATGGAATCAAGAATCAATGAGATAAATCCCCTACGGGACCGCAACAGTTTAAACAAAGATGATTGGGAATAATTATCACAATGTAAAAAGAAACATTGGTGTCATAACCATTTTTTTCAAAAACAATTAAATATTTATATTAAAAACAAATATGATTTTATTTTGGAAAATTGTTGATTTTGTATTGATTTGGATTAAATTGGATCGGAGTCACCATCGACATTTGGGTTAGGTAGGTCGAATACCTAAATATGTGCTTTAAAATAATTTTAAGGAAAAATAGGTTTTTAAGACAAAAGTTGGTATGCGTTTACCAGAAATTTGATTTAATGGGTCTGGAGTCGATGACGCGTGAGAAAGGATTAACACCCCCACAACACCCAAAATTGGTACTTAAATCGGTTACACGTTGTCGTAGCAGTGGAAATTATAAATCGAATATAAAGTTAAATTATGATCCGTTTATTGAACATTTATTACTTTTGTTTCGAATTATTTGTTAGGGAAAATCCTTTAACTTTAAAAGAAATCCCGAGATTAGCAATCCTCCATCGGGAAAACTATGTCGTCTATTTCTTATCTGTAAAGAATATTCCTTCTGATATGACCCCAATTATGTGTTCCGAGTCATATACGATGTTGCTCGATCATGATTCTAGTAAGAACTTCACAGTGCTTTGATTGAAGACTGAAAATGCATAAACAACGTTATAAGAAGGAAAATATGTATATATGAATATGTGTATGAAAGTAATGGAAATGATAGAATGAAGTTGAAGTGGATTGTAAATGAAAGAAGTGTGGTGGTGATAGTGGTTGAATGGATGTAACGAAAATGGTGAAGGATGTTTGTGGTTGGCGTGGAGAATGATAGTAATTCAAAAGATGGATTGTGACCCTGTAACTATAAATGAGTTAGGAACCAACAATAGATGTAATCGAACTGATAGAGGGTGGAACGTGACCCACTAGCTATAGTAGAGCTAGGAACCAACGCTATAACAAGATGAAATGGATGAAGGCTTCAAGGCCGACAAGAAACCGACAGAGTTCTAATCCAAGAACTAAAATGAAAGCAATCTTTCAAAGTATTTTCATAAATCAAATTGTGTGCCTACAAATGATCCCAAAGGTGCCTATTTATAGTATTTCTAATAAGCATATGAAAAGACTCAAAAGATGATAACATTCTCATCAATTTAGCAATAAAATGCACTTGAATGCTTTGTCTTCTTATGTTCAAAATTGGATGAATATTCTAGATCATTTAGGGGATGAATCTAGATAATTTGAAGCTGAATATGGCCTTAATTTCGTCCAAGAAGGAGGGGTGACTCTTGGGCTACCTTGCTTTGCTTGCAAATGGAAGAAAAGAGGTTAAATGAAGTCATAGGATGAATGTGGACATCCTACATGTCCAAATCAGCTTGTCTGTTCAAATTCCTTGCTGATTTTATCACTTAATTTGATGATTAAATGAAATAAAATCAGCCTTCATTGTTTGTTCCTTGGTAGCATGCGAATAGCCTTCAAAGAATGATAAGTAAGACTTGAATAGGTGAATTATGAAGGATTGAATGCATTGTCTCTCCAAGAATATGAACAACCTTGAAAAGATGAAAAGAATTAATCCTTGAATTGCTTTGAATAGAAGCATTAAGATAGCCTTCAATTGCTTGTCTCTTTGTAGAAGATGAAAGGACTTTCTTAGCTCAAACTCATCCAAATCATCCTTGTACAAAATTCCCGTAATGAAAATTCCAGCCTGCACTGTCTTCAGTAAATCGATCATATCTCAAGCTCCCGATATCGGATTGAGGTAATTAAAAAGGCGTTGGAAAGATAAGAGATAGATTAATAATGTCCAATTGATTTCTGGGCCCAAAAACATCTTTATCGCATCCAGAATTAGAAGACATTCTGACTGATATTCTTTCATCTGTTGAAACCGTTCAACTTCTCCCATGCACCTAGACACAAAGGTGAACTTTATTCAATCTTTAATTGAAAACATGCATGAAACAATTAAGAGTTAGTTTATTAAATGAACTAGTTTGATGAATGAACTACTTTAATTAATGAACTAACTTTATTCAATTAACTAGACGCATGAATGAAGTAGCTTACTAAATGATCTAAATATGCATAAATGAACTACTTCCCTATATGAACTAGATACTTTGAATGCGATGCATGCTTAATGAACAACACACTTATTAAATGCAATGAATGTCATGCAACTAATAAAACTCATGCAAATTCATGCAATGAATGATATCATATGACAAGCATATCCTAAGAGGTAAATACAAACATATGATAAAATATAGTGCATAAATGAGCAGGTATAGGATGAAGTAAGGTAGAACTCCCTTTGAATCAGCCTTGGTGAACTTCAATGATTTAATCAGATCAAGAAGAAAGTTAGGGCTGATTGGGATCACATCACCTTCCCTGATAAAACGCGTATTGAAC